TTAAAAGCAAGCTTTTCTTTGTAAAAACTTCAATTGAATTTCAATAAAGTTAAAGGCATGACCTCACCATTAATATTAAAAAAAAAACTAATTTACATGTTTGTTTTGTTTTTCTATCCATATATTGCAATGATCTACAAATCCACATTTCTAGGTTGCAGTGAATTTTTCAAATTCTGTTTTTTACAGTATTAACCAAGATGTTTTTTATTTTATCTTATTGAACAGTTACCTAAGTTTTCTCTTTCTTGCCCTTGTTATACCTTTTTTGCAAGCTCTATCTTTTTTCTTAAACCTGTAAAGTTGGTTTAGACAACCATTTTTTGGTAAACTTCTAAATTGCTTTCTATAATTTGTATATGAGTAATCAGTAAAGTAAGTTGTATCGTATATATCTGACTTTAATATTTTATTTTACTATTAGTTTATTTTATATATATACTTATATTTTATTATTAAAAAACAAAAAAAAAAAAAATTTAACATAATCTAAAATCCAACATCTAACAATCTATCTCTACTATCATTATTTTCTTTCCTGCTTTTTTTTTTTGTTCTCAATCTTTTCAAATCCTTTTCATAATTTTTTAACCTTGCTCTTAATCTATTTCTTTCATCCAACAACCTTGTATATCATTGCTCCAACATCTATACATTTTGCACTCTTGTTATTGCATTTTCTCTCAACTTCTCTAACTCTTCTTTTAAACTCTGAATCCTTCTTTTTTGAGAGACTACCAACTGAAGCAAGCTATATAAATTTTATTAGCTTTACAAAAATAATAATATGAAGAATATTTTTGTTAAAATTAAATATTCACTGTCTATTTTCATTTTGGACCATCTTTAAGGCCCTATACAAGGCATTGTTGCTATTGTGTCTAGCTTGATAAACACTTTTTAGAAGACTGTATCTTGGCATTTTATTATTATTATTATTAAAGTTATTGATGTTATTGTTGTTATTAAAGAAGTTTACAAAAAGAAAAGATGAAAAGAACAGAAATATAAATATTTTTCTTTTCATGAACAATAATCAAATTTTTTTTAACAAAGAAACACAAATAGAAATCAATTAGAAGTTAATTTAACAAATCTGAAAATCAATTAGAAATAGATTTAACAAATTTGGAATAATAATAATTTGTAAATCATATAATTACAAATACAAACAATAGATAGATTAAAAAAATTCACTAATAGAAAACAATCACAATAGAGACAATATGATTGCTAAATTTAGAAATAGATGAACCAACTAGAACAAAGTTGCTAATTTTAGATAAATTGATAATTAAAGTTTAGAGACCTCACTTTTTTTAAGAGGAGAAAGACACAAAGAACAATACAAACACAAAAATAGAACATGTAGCAATACAAATTTTGCCAAATTTTTTTTTTTAGAACAAAGAATTGTTTAATATTATTGTAAACAATTACAGTACCCAGATTTAATTAACAAAGTCTTAGCATATGACTACTATCTAGAAGTTTTATTAATAGAAAAACCAGATTATAACAAGTTTATTAATGCAAGTCGAATTAAGGTTTAGACTAGAACTTATTAATTGTTTAAAACAATAGATTATAAACAAATTTATTAAACAAAGAAATTGACTCTCAAGCATATTATATAGTGATATGAATAAAGCCAAGTTTAACTAGTTAGTGTGGGATCTAGAAGAACTTATTTTTCGTAGTTTTCTAGTTAATAATTTGGAGGATAAAATAGGAAAAATTATCCTTTCTACCATTCACAGAAGCAAAGGTTTGGAATTTGACTATGTTTTCTTAGTAGATGTTAACGAAGAAATTTTGCTCAGAAAAAATACTAAAAATGTGGAAGAAGAACTCAAAGAAGCCAGAATTTTTTATGTCGGAGTAACCTGAGCCAAAAAAAAGTTATATCTTTGTTCTTCTGAGTTAACTTTTATGTATAATACAAAAGTCATAGAAATTTTGTGAAACAAAATTTTTAAGAGGAGAAAAATGTTACAAAGTAGATTTTTAGCATAGCATAGTATATTATATTATTAGTGGTTGTTATATATTCATTATTGTATTTTATATTATATTTATTATTAATTATTAGCATAGTTATATTATAGTATATAGTAGTTAGATAATAGGATCTTAATTGGCTGTTAGAAGTGTAATACAGACACATAACATTAAGTAACATCTATTATGTCACTATTATCTTACAAACTCCAAGTATCTACACAAGTTTCATATATCCTAATATAATTTACTATGCCAAATACTACAGTACAAGAATTCCAAGTATTCCTAACACAATCTCCAAGTATTTCTGCATAATCTCAAGTATCTTTAACACAATCCCCAAGTGTCTTTGCACAATTTCAACTGTCTTTGCACAGACTCAAGTACCTTGACACAAGCTTCAAATGTTTCAAGTACAAATGACAAATATATATAAACATTGTTCCAACTATTCCTGTACAAACTTCACTTGTCTTTGCATAATCCCTACTCCTCAAGTACAGTATCAAGAGATGTTATTCAAACCCCCACTACTTCTACTAGATAAAAAGATATATAAAAAGTACCTTTTTCTCTTTTCTGCCAATTCTAAGTTTCTATACTTCAACTCAAACATAATAATCTTTTAATTATAAAATATGATATTCTCTCTTTAGAGTAATTCCTATAGGCAAGGTTTTTATCATGTGTGTTGTTAATAAAAAGTTAATCTATATACTGTTATTATCTTAAACTATTTGCCTACTACTGTGTAGTAAAGTGAACTACTACACCTTCATTCTATATATATTTGCAATAGTCAATCACTGTACTGGATGACCTTGTTACTTGGTTGTATTGTACCAAGAAGGCTGCAACCCTGTAACAATACCAATAAACTGATTATAGTCTTATATAGACTATCTGAATTGGAAGTCTGAACAAAAGGCTAAACAAAAAGTAAAGATATACTAAAGTAGTAAATTAATACAGTTTACAGGTTCAGAGAGTTTAAAGTAAAACATCCAAGCAAAAGTATTAGATATAGCAATTGGTAGAAAACCTTTGGGCAGACTTCTTAAATAAATAATATAAAAAAGTTATATATATAGCCAATTGTATACTCTTCTGTAGTAGTTTATAAAATAATATTATCAAAAAAGTTATTAATAAAAGTCAAAAAACCAAAAAGGTTATCTTAATATCAAAAATAAAAAAATTTTTTTTTTTTTTTTTTAAATATTAAGATGAGTACTTGTAACTCAGGATTTTATTGATAGTATATTTGGCTAATGGTTGCATTACAACTACAGGAGGCAACTATAAAGAGAGTGTACAACTAGCCACTTATACAACTTTAGTCATTGTTTAATTTAAGTAGTTTGCCTAAAGATTCTACACTAGCTGCCATAATTGAAACCCACTTGTAGGTTCTCTATTTAACTATTTTGTTTCTATATCCATCTACCTATCTCTGCCTACCAATGACCCTGGCCAATGGCAGTAAAAATATGCCATGACTACTAAGTCTTTAAAGCAGTTCACTCATATGAGGAACCTTTAACCTTGTACTAAACCTTCCAGAATCTTCTATATTCTATTCTTACAGCTGACCTAGTATCACTATGGCTAAGATTAACACTGGTGGTCAGGATGTATCATTAAACCACTATGCCCTTGTAAAGTTTACTTCAACCCTGGTACTGACTTCACAACATATTTTTACTACTTTGGTATTCAATTCAAATTTCACCAAGCTGCCATTCCAGATAGTCTGGAAAGATAAAGCAAAACTATACCTCTAGTTTACATGTTTGCTAACATATACTCTTTTTTTCTAAAATTTGAAAATTCTAGTGGCCTGGTTGGTTCATCTGATCCCTCCTCAAAAACTGGCACATTTGCCTAGTTTTACAAGTTTTAGCTTTATTTCATAAGTCTAGTCTTTATAGTAGCATCATTGAAGGTTCAGGTTATCTCTTTACTTGAGTCTTCCAAGTAGGCTTCTGTCTTTCTATCTGGTTTCTGTGATTTACATAGTCTAAGAACTTATTTTGAGTTCATACCACCTGGTACTGGTTTGTGTTTCCTTGTACAACATTGTACAAGTGCCTAGACCTTCTAGTCATACTGGTATGACATGGGTTACAAATATCCTATCCTAACCAATCACAGAAGACAGTTAGCCATAACACAGAAAGAATTGCAAATTTTTGCCATCACTAGGATTTGAATTCTAGACCTGCCACTTGAGGTTAACAACCTATTTACTAAAAAAAAAAAAAAAAAAAAATTTAAATCAAAGATATATTTGATTTAACTAAATTTAAATTGATTCAAGAGGTGTAATGACTCAGTAAAGTGAATAAGTTGTTAACTTTCTAAGTAGTAAATTGGGAGTTCAAAATTTACCAATAGTAAAAATTTAAAAAACTATCTATGTTATATTAGTATTACAAGAAGTAAGCTATATTATAGCAATAGCATTTTGTTAATCAGTTAGGATCTGATATGTGTAACACAGTTGCACCAGCTTGACTGGCAGATCATAGGGCATCTGTGCAATATTAAAGTTACACAAAAGAATGCAAACTGGCATTGGATGATGCAAACCCAAGATAAGTTCTAGTGGTCATATAAATTTGTAAACTAGAAAACCAGAACTTACTTAAAAAGATCCAAGTAGAGAGGTAGCATGAATCTTCAACAGTATTACTATAAAGACTAGACCTAAAAAATGAATACCAATGTGAAAAGAATCAGGCAAACAAAAACTTCAGGTAAGAAGTACTATCAACCAGATTGATAAAAGTTTTGAACTAAAAAAAAAGAACCTTGAAGGTCAGACTTTGAGATACCAAGGACAGATTATAGTCCTATTAGTAGAGTTCAGAGCATGGGAAAAAAATTAGGCATGCTCATATAGACATGCTCCTAAGCTAAGACATGCCTCTTATGCTTATGGGCATGCCCTTTTTAAATCATATAATTAACACATAGTTTAAAATTTTTACATGTTGATTTAGTATCTACAGTTC